TTCATGTCTTTTGTTTTGCTCTTTTTATCTACAATGTCAACCAATAAGCATTGCATTTCTTGTGTAAATACTTCTGGGATTTGATGAAACATATGATCTTGAGGTTTTGCCCTGACTTCTCTCCATAAATGATTAGGGCTTCTCCATTTGGTAAGGGTAACCGAATAGCCTTTTCGAAGCAAAAGATTTTGGCATGATGAGGAGATAACCAATCCATGCCCATAATGACATCAAGGCTTCCAATGGTCATTGGCATGAGATTTATGTGGAAGGTGTTATTGCTTAAAGTTAACAAGCAATTCTCCAAAATTTCATGTGTACTTCTGGTCTGACCGTTGGCTATTTCTACTTAATATGCTTTTTAAAATTTGCTAGACTCATTATTTAAAAGTTGTCTAAACGTTAGGGTTATAAAACTCTTATCGACACCAGAGTTATAACATATTGTAGCATATAAATTAATAATGAGGAACATACCGGTCACAACAGATAGGTCTCGGATCGTGTCCCTTGCTCCAATTAAAAATACCCGACCTCAATAATTCCTTCCCTGATTCCTCAACTTTGGACACTTTTTCTTAAAATGTACAACTTTACCACACTCATAAAAAGTTCTTCCTCCACTAGCACTTGTTCTTGTTCCCGTTCCATCACTGGCTGTTGCAGGTGTTGGGTTCCTGCAAAAGTTAGCAATTGACATTTTTTGTTTCACTTGTTGCAAGAGTAGCATTCACCCACATAGTGTTGGTTACACTTGTCGCAAAGCGGATGTTTCCGAAAATATTATTTCTGTTGGGTGGGTGGTGGTGTTGTGGTTTAATAACTTATTTTTTGTATATATTTTAGTATCTTGTTTTATTTTAGTTTTAGTATTTTTAATATTCTTTTTGCATTAAATAGTAAGATTTATTGTTTTGAATATTTTTACTCGTTTAAGTTATTTTTGTGTAGATTTGTTCGAGCAAGATGGTGTTTTGGAGCATCTTTAAAGCCAAATTAAATATCATGCAACCATGATTGAAGTCACCTAGCAAAAATCCGTGAGCGACAAGAAAAACAAAATAATACAAATTAATTTTTGGATTTTGACAGCATTGTACGGTCTTTTTCAAGCGATTAGACGGAGAGGAAAGTGTAGTCTAAGGTGCTGTTTGTTTTTTCTGAGGCAGTAGAAGAGGTGGATCAAACGTCTGCAGTCTGAAAAAAGAAGACTGTTTGTTTTTTTAACATCTGCGGGCTATTAAAATAAACTGAAATCTAAATAAACTGATTTTTTAAAACTTCAAAGCGATTTTTTTATATATTTTTTCGACTTTATTATAAATATATAACGAATCTAGATCAACTTTTATGTATTATTATATAAAAAATAAAAATAAAAAGGGTATTAATTCATATACATATTTGATAAAAACCAACAACTTTGATTGCAAAGTTATAACTAAACATTATAATTAGTGATTAAAGAATTTGATACATAAATAGATGGAAATAAACTTCGATTTTTTCAAATAAATCTATTAAAAACGTACGATAAATATTTTCTCGAGAAATTGATGATACTCTATTAAATAAAGTTTTACAAAATTTTGGCAAAAAAATATAAGAATATATTATGATTTTTTTTTCATATTTATATAAACAACTTCAACGACTATTATTATAATAAATTTTTATTTATAAATTTGTTAAAAATATCATGTTTGTATCGTCAAATGTTTTTTTTTTAAGTTTTGTAATTTTTTTTAATTGTTTATCATTAATAAAGTTGGAAAAAATATAAATTAAAAAAAAAAAACTTAAAAAAAATAAAGATATATATGTTTTTTTAGGTTAGAAGATGTCTGAAGATGTTAGAAGACTCTGGTCCACATCTGCGCCAAGAAGAGGGCGCGCAGACATTTTTAGGTCTGCAGTCTTCAAAAAAACAAACAGTCTGCGAAGACTAATGTCTGCGCGTGGTCTGCGCGGCGCAAACAGAAGACGTCTCGCAGATCTGCAGACAAAAAACAAACACTACCTAAGTTAGTTGAAATTTTACGAGAGTCCTTCCAACTCGTTGGCCTTCAATCTCACAAAAAAATAAATTGATTCGGACAAAGTTTAGATATGGTTTTTAGCCACCTGAACAACAGCTCACAAAGCTGTTAATCAACCCAATTTAAAAGCCCATTTGCGAATTTAATTGTAGCCCAAGTTGAAGTGAATATAAGCTCATCCTTTGCTTTTGTTTGGGCTGGAAAAACGCAGGAACTGAAGAAAAAAAAAAGATTACAACAAAGAAAATTGGAGAAGAAAATGGACCATTCACGTGATACTTGAGCAGTCCAAAGTGAAATTGAAAAACCCATCAGTTTACTTTGTGCTCGGATGGAAAACGCATAGGAAGATATAATAGTATGGTGTTTAAGTTTTGAAGCATCACCGGATAGAGAGAAACAGGGGGTGATGACGCCTAGGAATGTCAAAAACTTCCGTGGGACTACGGTTCCGTACGGGATAACTTTTTAAGAAAAATTAGGGGTGGGAGCGGGGGCGGGGGCGAGCTTAATTCCCGTTTTATTTTCGGGATCGGGGTCAGGAGTAGGTATTTCCATCTCATAATCCTGCGGGGGGCCCCGTTTGTATATAACTGGTTTTTTTAGAAATTAGTTTCTACAGACAAATCGAAATGGATAGTCAAAAACGAAAATTGTTTTTTGATCGAGTACTATTCAAAACCAGGCAACCGATTTTGTTATGCATTATGTTTATATTCTTTAGGAATTGGGTAGATGAAAAATATAATTTAATGTTATTTTTTATGACATTTCTTTTCGTTTTTATTATACTGTAGTCCTTCAATTTGTTTTCCTATTAAATACCATTTGTAGATTTGGCCCATATATTCATATATTTCTAATTAAATTAAATTACTTTTACGATTGATTTTAGGTTATGACTTAACACTTATTTGTACTATGTTTTAATAGTGATATTTTTGGCTATTCATTTAAAAAGTTGAATAAGGATATTTGTTTGCAACATTAAACGCATTAAAAAATATTATCTAATGTAATTTATAAACAACGATTCTTATTTTACTTAGTTGTGTCTAAGTATTTACCCACAATTTATTTTAAATAATAAATCCCTTGAAAGCTATCAATAAAATTTGGGATAGAGTACAAATAAAAAAGAAATAGAAATTTAAACCGAACTACAAAGGGAAGCAAAGCGGCTATCGTATGTTTAGGTGGATAATATCTAAAGTCCATAAGGTGGATAATATCTAAAGACTATACAATTATGAAGAGATGTACGTTGATCAGCAACAACATTAATACTTATAGTAGAAAACCATTAGTCTAACTTGAGTTTTCCATGTTTTATATTCTCGAGGTTTGATATTCAATTATTGGTAAATTCTGGGGAGCTCTTGTACGTAAATTACTTCACATATACATCAAAAATAAATGAGTACTAAAAACCTGAAAGAGAGATTAGTACTTCACATAGATTGTCTATATCAGAAATAAATGAGTACTAAAAACCTGAAAGATAGATATAGTTAGACCAATAATTATCAAATTTAAATGGAAACCATAGTTGGGAAACCAAACCAACACAAAATTAAGAAAATAGACTTACCCAATTGAAGATTGGATTGTTGAAACTTCGTTAAACCTGCAACCAAACCAAACAAAGAAATCAGTGAAAGTAAAACCAACAGTCCATTTCAGGACTTGTAAGCATACACACATAGTTTCATATACAGTCAAAAAGATGGAGAAGGTCAGCAGTGGTGTTGGTTCTTTTTAGAGAAACTCACATGTGGCAGTAGTGAGGAGGTTTTTAGAGAGATAGAGAGGGATAGGGTAAGTAACAGTAGAAAATAGTGGTACGGTGGTGGAGGCTAGAGTTTTTATTGAGAGGCACTGTTTTATCTTATATATTTGGGTAGTTTAATGTTATTACTGGTTGTCTATTGTTGATGGTCTGATGTATGCTTGAAGACTTTGGAATAGTTTGATGCAATTTTTGGTATAGCCCCATAAGAACATTGCCTTCATGCATAGGAGGAGCATATTCCTCTTTGTAGGGGCAACAAGCTTCATGGTCTGATGTATGCTAGAAGACTTTGGAATATTCTGAAGCTATTGTTGGTATAACCCCATAAGTACGTTGCCTTTACAGAGGGGTTGCTTGAAAATTTTGAAATTATCCCCATAAGTACACTGTCTTCATTTATGGTTGCTGTTGTCCTCACATAGTACACCAGGAAGGTCATAACCCCTAAAAAAGATTACAAACAATCACGTATACCAGTACAAATAAATGAAAGTATGTTGCTATTCCATACATTCAGCCCTTTTCCTTTTGCATTTTTAAATATCATTACCTTACTACCAAGCCGATGTCAAAAAACCAATGCATATTGATTCTCAGTAACCGAAATAAAAATCCCAACCAAATCATTGCTTTGTGGGCCCCTACAAGACTCCCCATCCTACAAATCCACACTCGAAAACTTAATTGTGTGTTCACAACCACTTGTTAAAGCCTCAACACCTTTACTTTTTGTTTCTTGAATTTAGACAAACCTTTCTTTTTTGAATATCAACCAAAGTAACTATAAAAACTTAAATACCTATTTTCACATCCAACCTAAGTAATTATAAAAAAGTTAGGTATCTTTTTTTGTTACTCCTACTAAACATTAAAAAAAACTCTATTTATACCAATTTAACTTTTTATTAAATAATTCTCATCTTTTTTCTTCATTTTGAGACATCACCCACCGTTTATAGCTTTAAATGACATCGAAGGGCATAATGTTCATTACTCTAGAAGTTTTTTTTTTTAATATCAATAGCAACACCCAAGCAGATCAAGAAGGGGCCTCGGAGAAGGTCGACAGTGGTGTTAGCTCTTTTTAAAGAGAAGGATCAAGTATCTCTTGCAACACAACATGAAAAGAGGCGTCCCCATTGAGTTTTAACTTTTTACAAATTTTCCCTAATTTATCTAATACAACACAAATGAAAAAAGTGATGTTAGTATTGATTTTACCATATCATCCAATGTGATGGATGCATTATATGTATGGAAAACTTTAGATGTGAAGCCAGACATGAGTTCCTTTAAATAAGCATTCAATATGTTTGTATCCAGCTTGTCAAAAAGATCTTCGTTACCCTTCTTCCCTTATTTTACGCAATGAATCCCGAAAAGACATTAACGCCCTCCTCATCCCTATCATCAAAAAATAAAAAATGCCCTATAATGAAGGTTGATACTCACTTGTTCGAAATTGTTGATTGCTTTGAAGATAGTGGTTCAACTTCAACATTGTTTTGGTATCTTATTAAATCTTTACCAAGAAATTAAAACTGGAAAAACATTAAAAGTTTTATGCATAAGTTACCTTGAGGATATTTGGAGATTGTGGCTCAACGTTTTCTACTTCCAGTATGCAACAATCAACTGTATCAGCTTCATCATCATCTCATAAGCATAAATGTGAAATCCATCAAACATGGAATTTACGGTGGAATGGAATCTTGAATTCCATTTCGTCACAGATAGCAATACTACCTTCTCGATTCCTGCTCTAAGTGCTAATTTATCAATAAGATATGTAGCCATTTCCACTTGTCTCTTTGTCAAATCCTTATTTGTAAAATATTTAGTGTAAGCTTGTCTGATGCCTCCTATGTATCCCTATAATAGTAATGGTAACGGATGAGATATGGATATCTGGAATATAATGACATTTTTGTAAAATTAACATTCATGTGATTGACACTAACCTTCAACAACCTTGCCTTTTCGTATTTTTCTTTGCCACTTAGACCCTTGAGGGCATTGTTGGCAACTAAGAAAACATACTTGAAGTCCTTTCCATTTATAACATTATTCCATTGAAATTCCCTTGTATCTTGAATACCTAAAAGAATAATATATTCAAAACAATGCAATAATTACCTTGTTCCATGATCATAAGAGAATGGAACCTGAGGACGACGAAGAAACACGTAGCTGAGTGGAAACAAAGAAGCGTATAATGATGATACAGGCTGTGAGAAGGAGAGGCGCACGAGCGGTAGCAGAGATGTTCTGTGTCGGAACAAAGGTCCCAGCAACTGATTCCAACTCATGATTTCAACAAAAAAATAATTGCAGATTTCAAGTAATGAGTAAATGACAAAAAGGGAGAGTTAGTAGAAAGAAGGGTGAGAGGATTGATTTCAAAAAAGGGGAGCCAATGTCGAGCCATGGTAAAGGTGGATAGCTGTGAGGGTTACCAAGCGATGGTTAGCAGTTTGACCACCGGGAGTGGTGGTTGCTGGTGGCGATCCAGAAATAAAATATTTAAGATTCAAACAAAAGAACTTAACCACAATGAGGGGGAATCAAAGAAATGAAAGCTTACACTGGTTTTGCGCTGCTTTTAGAAATAGAAAGAAGATGATAAAAAGAGCAAATCAAAGGGTATGCCGTGTAGCTTTCCTTAGATTTTCATTCAAGGGCATAGCTTTGATAAGGTTCGATATAGAGGAAAGATAAATCAAACACACAATACCGTTACGACAGCAAAAAAAAAAAAAAAAAAAAAAAAAAAAAAAAAAAAAAAAAGAATGTTGATGAACAAAGCAGCAGGTGGTTGTGAGCTTATAAGGCTTCGATCTAACCTTATATCGAAACCATCTGCAGATTGAAGGCAACACAAAATCAGTAGTTGTGAAGGCAACACAACGATTGCGAAATATTACATGGAGGATGAAGGTAGAAGAGGGCATCTTAGGGTTTTCTGATTTTAAGAGAGATTGAGATGGTTAGTGGTTGAAGGAAATGTCATGTTGACTAAGATAATATAGGATATGCAATATATAGCATATCTCATGTTGACCGATTCAATCGGCTGAATGTGCGGAAATAAGTTTGACAGATTCATCTTTTAGAAGAGTTTGTTAGCTTACCACCTGCCCTTAGCTTTGACCTTTTCTATTGTTTGATTGAATCATTTACTCTGCAATGCCTTGTTGTATATGATGGCTTAAAGGGTGTACCTCTTAAAATTCAGCATTTGAGGCTAAATGCTTTTTAAGCTATAACGATATATAACTTTTAGGGTTTCGCAACTTCACTTCACTTCCCGTAATCCCAAATGGCCGCCTACTCCCAATTTCCTCCATTCGTCCTTTAACTTCATCTTCACGGTCATAAATTCACAGCTCAATAACTTCACAAATCACACCTCCTCTCTAGCCTCTAGCAATCGAATTACAACAATAGTCCAAAACACAAAACCACGAACGGAACGACAACCAGAGAGTATAACTTGATTTCATCTGTCGTCGTTCGTCTACACCATCTGCCCCCTTCCACCCGTCGCCGACGACCAACCTTCTTCCACCAGCGCTTGTCAACCATTCTTCCTGCCTCCGATGGTAAGCACTCAATTTTTGTTTGAAGACAAATTGGTTACGCATTTTAAAGAAAAATTAGATTGGTTATCTCTTAGTTTTGATTATCCCTGTAGTATATATTTCATCTTAAATGCTAATGGTAATACAAATGTTCACATTAAATTTATTAAGTCGTTTGTTAATAATGAAAAATCCTTGACTTTGTTGAGAAGCATATCGAGTTCACATCCAGATATGTTGTGGCCAACAATAATATCACTATCTAATTTGTGTAATTCAATTGTTAACCGGTTTAATAAAGCTCTTTCACTGCTCTCCATTTTAATGATGTTTGATCCAACTTTTAAGTTTTTATCTGTTGCTTCTGTGTTAAATCTCATAAAAAAATAAACGATCTTCAAGCTTATGTACAATTGTAGAATGACTTAACATTCCAGGTCTTGTCTATTCGGAAGACCGAAGCTAACATTGTTGTATCAGTCTGAAATCAAAATTAATAAATTTGATGTATTTACATTTAGTGTTATCAATAACGTTACAACGAGATTGCAAGAAAAAAATGTGAAAGCACATTAGCCTTATGACAGTAGATGACAGATGTAAATGCAGTTTCGTTTATATTTTGTTTTTGATTTATTAGAATCTTTAGTAAGGACTATTTTTTTTTTATATGAACAATTTTTCAGATTCATATCTTCAAATGTCAAACAATGACAAATCGAAGATAATTGATGGATACAGATGATGTAGTGAAGTGAATATTTGTAATGTTGGATTTTTTGTATTTTATATTTGTAATTTTGTTGGATTTGTCGATTTTGTATTGTTAGATTTAATATTTTTGTAATGTTGGATTTGAAGTTTTTGAATTGCTAAAATACTAGATTTTAAGTTTTTAAAGATATAAAAAATTGTTTTTTTAGTCTAAAATATAGCATTTTTTTAGTCTAAAATATATCTTCTAAGCAATAAAAAAGATAGAAAATTATATCAATAAAGTCACTTTTTATTGCTTCAAAACTTCATCCATAATCAAAACATTAATAAAAAATTTAACATAATCTAATCTAAAAGAAATGAATTACATAATTAATAATAAGATAAATGATATCATCTAATATCAATTGTTCCAAAAATAAATAAATAAATAAATCTTCACTTCTAATAAAAAACTCTTTAAATTGCCACTTGTCATTTTTTAGATACACATTTTGCCACGTGTCAGTTTTTCTAAACAATCACCTTGTGATTTTCCCGCTTAAACTTTCTTTGACGTCTATCTATTCCTAATCTTGACTGAATCGCATTCCAAATTTAGTGATAAGGACTTTACAACTACGAAGCGAACTATATGAGGAAGAGTATAATCTTCCCTAAAATCTTGGCACCATTTATGAAATCAATTTCAAATTATTCCCCGTATCTCATCTACGCTCCATATATCTACCCATATTTAGGGTTTTTATTTGATTCGATTTCACCGTTGCAACTATTTTTGAAAATAACATAATGGAATCCGATTACATATGATTCTTTTTCAATGACCTTCTTCCTTATTTTCGCAACGAAGCTTCAAACGATATTAACTAGACATCTACGATGAAAATACATTGGGTTTTGGAAACACTGTAAGTTTTTCTTACTTTTGCTTGATTGAATTTAATCATTTTTCTTTTACATTCTGTCAATAACTTGATTGGAGCTGGTGCTTCTAATGACGAATATATGATTTGTCTGATATTGGAAAATATCGCATGTCTTTTTAAACATGCAATCTTTGGAAGTGGATATTGGTGTTGCAAAAAAGTTGACTCATTTTATAGATTAAGCCATGAAGCTTAACCGGTCTGTCCAATATTTATAGGTTAAAATCAATGAATTAAAGGTAAACATTTTAAAATATGTGATTTTTTTTTATTTAATACTTTGCAAACGAGTGATGGTCCGTTGGCGTGAAGGAAAAAGCTCATACTTATGTTGTTATTTTTGTCCAGTCAATATTAATTTTGACTATTTTGCCAATCTTCTTGATTTGGATCTAGAAAGTCCTGATCGCTTTTGTTGGAAACTATATTTTGCATCATATTTTATATCTTTTAATCAGCAATTTTTATTTGTTAATTGATAGGGTTTGTTGGTTGGGAGAACTTTAATTGTATATTGGGGTTTGTTTAAAATTATTTGTTAATTGTTAATTGTTAGTAGTCGATATTTTATTAGGTTTGTTAAAAAGCAAAATTTAATTTGTTAATTTTTGTTAATCAGAGAATCTAAATTTAATTTGAGGCATGTTGATTGTGTTTCCGTTCATTTGTGTGTTTGGATCATGCGTGTACAAGATTCACAACAAGGTAACCTATGGAGGACAAAATTTCAATAAATCAAACTAATAGAGGACATTATTCCAAGAAATTATAATGGAATGGTGGCAGTTCCAACAATAGACAAAGAAATACATTTTTGGTTATTTATGAGAGGTTTGATTGCCATTTAGCATGACTGGTAACAAAAAAAATATATTTTTTTTTCTATTTAACACATCATACTCTTATATTTTATAAAGTATTATAATACTTTATGTTAATGAGAGGGTTACATAACATATAATTTATTTTATTATTTATAGCTTATGTATAAGTCTTATATAATATTGTAATAATATAATTATAACATAAAATGTAAAATATAAAACATATTTATTGTATGTAAAGTCATCTATTAAGTTGTATAATGTTAAATAATTTTTTTTATTATAAACATGAAATGATATCTTTTAAAAAAGATTTTACATAGTTTTGTTTTTTTATATACGAAGCAAAGTAGAATTCTAACATGCACAAGAAATGAAATTACAATGCCATTGCATATTTTTAAATTAATAAAAAGTTTCAATAAATAGAAGTACAATACTATTAACAAAAATTGAAGTAAATATGATTAACTAAATTATCGTTTTATGAGTAAAACTATGTTTTTTATTATGTTTATGTTATGTAAATTTATCAAACCTGTGTACTACACGGGTTATACACCAAGGAGGCATCTCACTATCCACAGTGATGCTTCAAAAACGTGAATGGTCCATTTTCTTCGCCGATTTCTTTTTTCTTTTTTCGGCTTCATTTTTCCAGCCCAAACAAAAGCAAAGGATGGGCTTATATTCCCTTCAACATGGGCAGCAATCAAATTCGCAAAAGGGCTTTTAAATTGGGCTGCCGGACATCTTTGTGAGCTGTTGTTCAGGGGGCTAAAAACCATATCTAAACTTGTCCGAATCAGCACATTTTTGTTAGATTGAAAGATCAACGAGTTGGAAAGACGCTCGTAAAATTTCAACTAAATCGGACAATATTTGCCCCTCCGTTTGATCACTTGAAAAACGTCGTGCAATGCTGTCACAATCCAAAAATTATTTTTATCACTTTATTTTTCTTGTCGTTTACGAATTTTGCTATGGGACGTCAATAATGGTTCCAAGGTATTCAATTGACTTTAAAAATACTCGGAAATATCATCTTGCTTGAACAAATCTGCATAAAAGTAGTTTAAACAAGTAAAAATATTCAAAACAATAAATCTAACGATTTAATGCAAAAATAATATAAAAATACTAAAACTAAACTAAAATAAAATAGTAAAATATATACAAAAAATCAAATTACCAAAATCCCCAAGTTTAACATTTCCTTGTCCTCAAGGAAAACAATACGAAAAAATCAAACCGAAGAAAAATAACAAAAATAAAAATACGACAAATGCAAATTTATCAAAACTAATAATTTATTTTTTTCAAATACTTTATAAGAAAACTAGATCAAGATTATATAAGTTGCAATTAAGATACCGGTTTAATAATCATGCAAAAAAAAAACGCTAACTTATACCTAATTATTGAAACAAAAACAGAAATTATAAATTTCAACAAAATTGGGACAAACCAGTAAGTCTAAGATTGTAATCACAACAAATATAAACTAGCTAGATAAACATAAAATCACATTAAAACACAAATTATCATGCTAATGCAACATAAGAATGCTAGAAAACCATTGATTGTCCCTAAGAAATACAATAATAGGACAAACCAAGATAACAAAACAAATAAAGAAATAGAATAAACATCTTGGATTGCAAATCAAAATAAAACCGTTTAGAATTAAAAACCTTCACTTTTTAGATTTAAAAATCACTTTAAAGAACGAATATTTGTTATACTTTTAGCAAAGAGATACACATGACACGGTTTATGGTCTGATCTAACCTTTACATCGCAAGAGATTGTCATCCATTTCCATACCACTCATCATTTACAACTCTCTTCCAATCAAGGAACAAGAACAAGAAAAATAATTCGAATCAAAAAGACAAAAAAAAAAAAAAAGAGTTATAAACAAAGGTTGACAAACCTACAATCATCTAAAGATACTAATGCTCTTACTAAAATGAGATCCATATATAAAAGATACTCGAGCAAAAGATAAAAATCAGAATTTATTGTAGGGACAACTAAACAATAATTACTCTAAAAAAACATCAAAATGGAAATGGAAAATATAATAATATCTAATCTAAAATCTAATAAATGAAAAAAAAAAATGCAACTCGTTCGGCCGACCCTTCATTATTATTATTATTTTTCGTCTTTTCTTATTTTTTCTCTTTTTTTTAGACAACGAAACCCCAAACATACAATTACAAATACAAATACAAAGACTTAAACTACTAACATAAAACTTATAAAAACACAATAATGAAAATACTAAAAACATCTAATTTTTTTCACGCTTTTATATCTTGATAATATCCGAGTTTTAAACTAAAATCCACAAAAATGAACTATAAACTTTACATAAGTTCTAAACTTGATTTGTAATTAAACATAAAAAAAAACAAGACTCATATAGCATAGATTTTGTATAAATGTCTATCCAAAATATTGAAATAATGACAATACACAACTTTTCGATATAACGTTAAATATCAAGACATCTAGATTTTTCAATTTACAAAATACTAACATAATCACATAGACTCTAACACATAAATATAGAGGTGGCAAAAAT